CCCCCCCCCCCCTAGAAAAACCCTCTCTGCATATTTTCTAAAAATATCGCAAGCTTCGGCCATAAGCCACGAGATACGAGGTATTGTTCTTCCTCGCGGCCCTTTTTTCGATTGGTACCACTTGACGTCACGCGCGATTTCCAGGACAGGCGGGGTAGAGGCGGAGTATTTACAATTCACAGTCCATCTTGGCATTTCCGATCCGATCTGCGAGGTCCCTCTGTTGCAGAAACGACTTAGATCCACGGTCGGGGCCCGTCGAGTTACTTCGTTCTCTCAACTCTGCATAGGCCGGCGCGCGGTCCGTAATTCAGAGGGACAATTATACGGCTCGCACGCTATTGCGGCGATGCGACATTCATAACACGCCCATTTAACAGGATAGTGGAGCCATGGTTCCACAGGCGGCGCTCGACGCCACGTTCGTTGGCCGCGCGACCGGGTGCAATGATTTTAAACGTCTGTTCCCACTGATAAGGCGAATCACCTATGTCCGTGGCGACGAGCAGGTTTTCAAAATCACTGCACCAGGACTACCAAGTCAAGCGGCCATTTTCTAGTAGGGCACTGCCATGGGAAGCGCGGCTTCACAACGTATCGTTCCACCGGTGTGCGAACTCTCGCATCTGGGGATTTGCGATTGGTTGATTAATCGAATTTTTGGACCATCAAAAATCCGGTAATCAATTCATAATGAATCTCATCAATTTAATCGTGGATCTGAGGCTTCAGGTGTTGGTAAAAGAAATTTGAGTTGTAATTATCCCTTTACCTAAGTCGAAAGCAGCTATTTTATTTATTTTTTTTTTTTTTCTGGAGAAAATTACCAGAAACAGAAGTGCCATGGCGAGATGCGACTAAAACCGTCATTAATAAGATCCGATTTAATCAACAAAAACCGAAAGAAGTATACGAGAGTAATTTTTTTCCTGGAACTTCAAATAGATAAGATGAAAATTTCGCATATACACATTGAACGCGATTTTTCGGAGAGATAATTGCTGAGGTGTATATTGTGTATCAAGCAAGTGTAGTCCCTTGAAAATAGGATTTAGGCTTTGAAGAAAAAATTCCTTTTTTGTGGTAAATAAAAGTTGATGCTGGAGTTCATTTAAAATTAAACTAGAAAATTTTTCATGACGTTTTATGAATGACGTGTGCGATAGGTACCTAATGTCTCGATTAGACCATTATGGATTTCATCGCACTAAATGGTTATACAAACATTCACTCTACTTTATGCGTAGCTAACCGCAATCATTAATTCGAATCAAAACAAAACCAAAAAATAAAAAATAAATAAAAATAATCATACAAATCATGGTCACAGAACAAAAATAAAAGACTAGCTGTGCAAAAAAAATAAAAAAAAAAAAAATAATAAATAATAACTACAGTCACACATATATGAAAAAATGAATTTACCTGCTTAGCTCTTAAACTTTTTCCAGTGTGAAAGTCTTCAACTAACATTTCACCGTCCGAATGATCATTATCACGAAGTATTAACCAAAAGCACTCGGTTTTCAGGGACTAGAAACACTTTTGCCACTCGCGATGAGGCTAACTGATAATAGGGAAGTTTTGGGGTTGAGATTTTAGAATTCCGCGCGATATGTCGAAAATACATTATACTATGTTGAACGAAAGCAATGTAGATTAGTTAAGTGATTACTCACTCAACTATAATAATAATTTCAGAGAGGCGCACTTATAAGACGCAAAAATTTAAGAAAAATGCACTGTTGGCACATAAGTCTTATTTTAGGAGAAGGATAGAGCTGAATAATGCAAAATTACATGGATATTAATAAAACTCTGCAAATTATAGAAAAAATGTAAAGGGCATGTTATCATGCAAAATAGAATCAGTGATTAAGTTCACTACAGTTGTTGGTTTGAAAAACTGCAATAAAGAAAAAATCGAGAAATGTTCTAAGAGCCACCATTTTCAAGCTACATGCAAGATTTATAAAGCACATGAGTCAACAAACAGATATATAGAGGGACTAGTTCGACAGAAAAGCCAAAATCAAGCTTTAGAATATTGGATAAAGGTGATTCAGAGCACTGGATTGAATAAAAAATATTATTTAATAAACTATTTTGAACGTAGAAAAACCGGGTTTTTTATCCCATGCAAAGTGCAAAAACTACTAAAAGAAAACATACAAAAAAGTTTAAAGGGGGGATTTAAAAAAAAAAAAAATAATAAATTCCTCAACCTCATTGAATTACACTGCCTCGATGACAAGCATTGAGATCTGAGAAAATCGATTGCCTGCAGCTGTTTATTATTCTTGAAAGAGAAAGCAAGTTGCAACTTTCATCTTCCTTTCGTTATATGGAGATATCAGACTCCAACCGAATGAAAGACACCCTTCATCATTTGGAATAAAGGGGCAATAGTAGAGACAAAAAATGATCGGATAAAATTTTTCCGAGGCATTTAGAATGGTTTGAAAAGTTATTAAGTTAGTGCAACGCATGGGGTACATGATGCATTAATTAAGTTCCTATGATTCGACGAGGTTCATACTGGAGTCACTCAAATCTCAAGAGATAGTAAAATCTTTAATTTCCGGGACTTAAAAAATCAAAGGCGGTGATCTCAATTTAAAAAACATTTAAGGAGGTGGTGGAAAAGAGGACGGAAATAGTAAATCGATAGGTAAGTCCAACTAGATGTTTGCTAAAGTATATGGCATAAGTAATGGATTGCACTGTGCATATTAGAAGAATCTCTTGAGTGCCATAAGTGATGAACTTTCTAAATTACGATTTTTTGCAGAGTAAGACTTCAAACCGATAGGAGAAAGGGGATATTTCTGCAACTATGATAAAAAATGAATAATATAAAAACCGAAAACAGTAATTAAAAAACAAAATAAACAAACACAGATAGGGCTAAAAAAATTGAGGGAAAAAATGGAGAAAAACAGGGTTTAATGTTGAGGCTGAAAAAACATAGCACTTGGTCCCATTGAAGGCCATGAAGGTTATTTATTCACTAGGGCTCTCACATCTATTCCTTCATCTGGTGTTAGCCCTTTGAGCATGTCTCATTTGTAAGGTATTTGGACTTATACTTTTCGAAAAATTTGATGAGAGTTAAAAGGGAGGTTTCAATTAAATTAAAAAATTTTACTCTTGAAAACCAAAGAATTCAAAACTGGTCGGAGGCCCTTAAAAAAGATTAGGCACCTTGATTTGAAAATAAAATATTGGAGCAAATAAACTTGAAGTGCTATATACTTTAAACTCCTCACTTCATAAAAGTTTTTTTTTTTGTTTGATGCCTTCATGTTATTTTCCCTTTTATTGCTTCAGACTAAGAACACCTGAGCCCACCCTTTCCTCCAGTCATTCAAGCACTCAGTATTAAACAATGTTTTAAAAAATAACTAGAATGAAAAAAAGAAAAAAATGATGAGTGTAAGGAGAAAAAGACATGTCCATCTAAGCAGGATTGAGGAAAGAGCAAAGTAGGTTCACTGAAAATTTCACTTTTGCTATTCTGAAAAGCCACTTGCTTCGGAAAAAAAAAAGAATTTAAGAACACACTGGAGGCTAGTCCATTAAATTTTGCGATTCACTTCCAAAGGCACTGAACACTATAGATTCTTTGATTGATGAGATTTTACATAATAAATATCACACAAATTCACCGTTTCTCAAACTCAGAATTATGCTCCAAGCCATTTACGAATTGCCAAGGGAAACAAGAAAAAAAATAAGAATACAACTATGTGAAAAGAAAAAAAAGCCACTGCCTTTTGTTCATTGTTTTTTTGGAATTTAGAATATAATATTAGAATTAAAGACTATTGAATGAATCATCAAACTTTGACTGGGTACATCACCCTAATGGAGTAATTCTATTGGATTTGGCATACTTTCTCTCATTTTAGTGAAAAAAAATGGATTCAAGCATGATTTGAGTTTTGAGACTGGTTTGAATAAAATAGCCACGTTTATTATTAAGGTGCAATTACTCGCGAGGTCCATTAAAACCAATTTTTACTGGAATAAAAGAAAATAATTTATTCGTGTCCACTTGAGAAATTGATTGGGACAAGGACAAAGGATAGGAATCTTAGATGCTGACATGTCTGAAATGAACTGCTAGAAAAGGCATTAAGGCAATCCTACCTTGCGAGTCTTGCTGACTGCTGGATAGTGAGTCCTGATGATACTCTGCCAGCTGCCATCCTGCACCTATTAAAGAGACATTTTTTTTTATAAATCGAAGGAAAAAAATTCACATGAAGAAAACTTAATGGTAATTGAAAGGATCCCATCACTAAGATTTAAAAGATGGTAGTTTTTTTTATTCATGACACTTAGGTTATTAGGGAAATTGAATAGTCTTAATAAAATAGAAAGTATCACCCACGCGACGCTGCTAGATAATTTTACGACTTGGCACTCATTTAGCAACAGACCCAAAATTTAGCTCTAAAAATTAAGCTCTTAGACAAGCAGTTGGGCGAAAAAAAGAGCCTATGCTTTCAAACCAGAATAAATACATTCATCTGCCAATGAGTTATTGCTTTTAAATATTTAAAAAAATATCTCCATGATTACTTCCTTTCCAGAGAAAATTGAAAAGAGTACAAATGAGGCTTGAGGGTTTTAAATTTTGAATTTAGAAGTTTTTAGTGTCACGAAAGACACTTTCATTCACATGTTAAGATTAAATCTAATTCTATTTTGTGATTCTCTATGTGGTTATTGGTGGTAAAGTAATTTTACAATTTTATTCTTCTGTAACTTTCCTGGATATCCTTCATAAAGGGTCACAGGATTCATCTGCTAAAAAGTCGCAAGTACCTATCTCAACAAATATCGTGCATTAGAAAGTTTCAAGGTTTTGTTATGTATTTTTTTTTATTACTTTTCTTTAACCTTTTTTCAAAATTTGGATATTTTCCAAGGTAACATCAATTTGGAGAATTTGCGAAAATATTTTTTTAGCAGCTCCCTTCGAGAGGTAAAAAAAATTGTACTAAACAGGATGTAAAGGAAAATAGAAGAATACCTGGTGCATGGGTATTTGAAGGTCCTGCTTGAGATGCGTCCGGTTCGTCCAATTCTTCTTCTTCTTCCTCAAGACCCATATCTTCAACACTATCCTCGTAGTTCACTTCGTCCGAGAGTTCATGTTTAGGCGGCTTCATGCCGTCAACGCCACTATCTTTCCCGTCTGAGGCACTGTCGCTCACAATTTTTTTATCCGAACCAATAATATCGTTATTATTCTGCAATTTTAATTCAGTAACAACACTTTCCAACGACTTTTTTTCTAAAATTTTGTTGTTGTTGTTATTATTATTGTTTAGATTGTTGTTGTTATTGTTATTATTGTTGGGGCTAACATTGTTGTTGTTATTGTTGTTGCTATTTGGATTACTATTATTACTGTTATTACTGCTAGAATTGTTATTATTACTATTAGTTAAAGGCACTGGCGAATTTGCGGAAATGGCAGACTCAGAATCGTTTAAACTTGTTTTCACATTTTCACTGACTTCGTCGGTTTGATTATTCATGTACACAGGATCTTCACCATTTGGCTTTTGGCTTCGTTTCCTCTTGCGCGGTGTGGGAGACATGCTTCCCTCTCTGACAGATCCAGATGACCGTGAAAATGTGTCCGAAACATCATTTGACCAACGATGATTGACTGTGTGAGGAGGTGATCGCCGCAGGGCAGAGGCAAGCGGTATGGATTTTCGGTTGTCTCCATGACGTTTGAGCGGTATAATGGGCATGTCCTCCTTTGTATCGATTCCACCTCCACTGTCTGTCAAACCTTTGATTTGAAGAGATTCTGCAGCCTTCAGGAATGTTCCAAGCTGCTCTTGGGAAATATTCACTTCCCCTCGATACATGTAGTCCAACATGGATTTTAGTTCTTGGAATTTAATATCCTTCAGAATCAAGATGGGATGTTTTTCATAGTGCTGACTTAGCAACATCTGTGAACAGAAAAAACAAAGAAATAATTTTTTGAAATTAAATGACACAGATGGTAATTACGATAGGGTCAACTCCTACTTGCATGTAGCTGGTGTGCAACGATGCACCCGAAGGATCATTGAACAAACAAATGAATTGGAATTGCAGAAATCAGGAATTAGCATTGTTCAGAAATTCAATTAGTATCATGTACAAAGAAAACAATTGTCCAGAGAATGAGAGTATTCTCGATTTGTGAAAGGATGTCACAGAATTCTGAAAATTTTGAAGTGCGCATACCAACTGAAATGGGACTTCAAAATCTTTTACATGATTTAGCAGCTTATTTGTTTAATTCCTTCGATCTCCCCTAGTTCCTTAAGTCAGAAAAAAAATTTGAAGAAAACTCAGGAGGTAAAATGGGCGAAAAAATTCCCTTCTTAAAGATTTATCCTTCACAATTGGGTTCGACGAAACAATCTGAAATGAGATTGAGTGCCCTGACACATTCGTTAGTTCTTTTCCTCTGGACTTAGTTCTATTGTCCATTACTTAATTTAGGCATATGCCTTGTGATGGTAAAATTTCGTAGCATATTATGAGTGTATCAATCATCACTTGATGCATTGTAGTCAGTGATCTCCTTTCACCATGAGACAATGAGTAATAATAATTTGAGAAGAGTATTTTACAAAACACACCAAAATTTTGAGACAGGGAATGAAGTTTAACAGGAAATTTCTATAAAAAGATAGGATTTGGAGATAGAAACATATAATCCAGCACAAATTTTTACATATTATTACTCACGTTCCCTCACAGCTATTAAGAAATTAATAAGAAAAACCTGAGTAAGTAACTCCCAAAGTAAAAATACTGAGCATTTTAGAATGCAATTTTAGAAAAATAATTTTGGCAGGGTATAGGCTAGAGCACACACAGCCACATTCAGATTAATATTTCTTCAACAAATAAAAAATTAACACATAAAAAGTTGCAAAATTAACAATTGCTGTGCAAGTTTTTAAAAAGTACCTAGCAAAAACAAGGCATAAGGAAAAATAGGAACATACAATGGATAGAAAACATGATTATGACAAAACAGTATTTAGGATCGATGAATTACTTAGGGGGTTCCTTGATGAGAAGAAAGAGAAAAATATTCATGAACCGATAGTTCTCCCTCACCTTTAAAAGGTAAAGACAGTCGATAGAATCAAAATTTAAATGAAAAGTACGGCCTTACACTCATTTCTCTTGAAGGAGTCAAGTTTAGGGTCATGAAGCCCTAGCAGGCATAAATGAAAAAGGTGTGTGTCTATTTTCCACTGTACCCTGGCTAGGTTTGTGATGCTGTAGGATTAGGTTTTTTTAAAAGTTAACAATAGGAATGTGTAAAATTTATTATGGTATCAAAATATCCCTCAGTAAATTACAATCCTAAAACCACATCTTTAACGCTTCAAAATTTCAACTTCGATGAAAAAGAAATCCTGACACAGCCCCGGCAAACTGGGAAACTTCAGGAGACGTGTTCAATGCTTAAAGGGCAAGGAAGGGTAATTAGTGGCTAAGTGCTGCGCTTCAAAGATATTGATAAATAAACACTACATTACAGAGCAATTATTGCTTCATATCTGAGGAGAGCAAAAGCACATAAATGCAGAAAAATAGGATTTGTACAGTCCCAAATGAAGAAGAGAAATCTGCTATGTTATTCCTAAGAAGAGAACAGGCATCGCTTCCATTCTTAAACTGCGATTCAAATTCAAAGAGACGCAGATGCTTGCTTCGGAAAGAGCACAAAAAGCTGACAAAAAACCTACATTGAACGAAAACCTACATGGGAAACCTGATCATGATCAGAGACGAGCAGACACAATCAATTTCTCTTCACTGTCCCCTAAGATTCAACTGGTGCAGCAGCATCTATTTTCAAATCTAAGGGGTTACGATAAATTACGCCTCTATGATAATCAGAGTATGAATAAAATTACTATAGTCAGAAATGGAGGAAATCTAGTGCTTATTTGAATAATTCTTCGAATAACAGATTTGGGAAACTGTAACATTCTCTTTGAACAATACATATAGAATTTTCAAACACCTAGAATTTATCAGCTCTTTCACATTGATCAACCAAATGGGAACAAAATCAATAAATTTAGAGAATTTAGGCACATACTCTGCGATAAGTATTAAATCAACAAAACTGCCTTGATACATGGGATCTGACTAAAAACCACAGAAGACCAGAACATGGTGCGCATTTGGAAACCTATTAGCGAACTCTCCTACTTAATAAGATTGGGCAATGTAAAAATTTTAGGGTAAGAAGGAAGGACAAGGAACGAGTTTGTTTCCATTATCTTTCTTATTGACTGGTCAGAAAATTCTTCCTGAAAGGAATTGTTTACAGTGGGGCTTCTCGCTAGATATAACGGAGGTTAAGATTTAGCTCCGTAATGCAAATGTGTGGGTTCGACTATACAGATGTAAAGTAATACATTTTGGATAGGAATGACAAAAAGAGTTTGATGAAAAATACTTGGAGGAAAGGAAGGTATTTAAATTTGAAAGGGAAAAATTGTCAGTGGAGTCTCAGAAGTAGGCCTCATGTTCATAGGCATTTGGGACGAAACATGTATTAAATCAAGGAAACGAAAAATTTGGAAATAGTTCATGAATGAATTTTATGTGATCACTTACCCCTAAATAGGGACTACAAGCCGATAAAACAACTTTATGGGCTTTCAAGTATTGTCCCTCGGCTGCCAAAGTGCAATCAACTAGTGTGCCACTTTCTAACAGAGCATCGAACACTGAAATTAGAGTACTTTGATGATTATTCCACCTGAGACAAAATTGCTGATTAGAACTCATTTTGAAAAATGTGGCACGATAGAACTAAAAACTTAAAACAACAGCGGAATAACTTAAACTTTAGCACGTTCACAGGAAAACCAAACTTTCGGAAGCCATCGCATCAGATTCCGTTCGCACTGTTGTTGACGCTGGTTGTTGACATAGTGGCCATTGAACCAATGATGAACCAGTGCTGCCAGCCCCCGCTACTTTGTGTTTTACTAACTGGTTCATAGACCAGGCGGCAGGCAGGCAATTCCCTCGAATTCATTTCTTCTCGTTATCATTCTTCCAATTTCGCTAAACATTCTCCTCTTTCTCTTCGCTCCCACTTCTCTCCCCTCTCCTTAAACTCATTTTCACTCACATGAATCGTTGTGCATTCAATACTTGGGAGAAAAAATTCAAATTTACCAGGAGGCGAGGCAAACTCAGGAGAAATTTTTCCTTCTCTCTTTTCTTCTTCTCCTTCCTCCCATTCTCAGAGAAAGGCGCATATGCACATAAGTTGTCTCAAAACCAATTTTATCACCTCTGAATCTTTTCCCCTTTCCTATCTCCCTCTCTCTTCCCCACTCTTTTCCTCATTCACTCCCTTCCTCTGCGTTAGAGCTGAATGGACATGGAGATTTGAATCTTGATTAAAAAAATTTCTCCCGCTATCCTTTTCCAATAATTATTATGACGACCATTACTTCAAACTCAACGAAAATGATTGCCATTCAACGGAGGAGCGCCACACTTAACAAGAAATAAATTTAAAAAAAAAAAAAAAAAAAAAAAAAAAAAAAAGGATAAGGATTTTCTGACTTTTAAAAATGTTGCAAAGAATCCTCCGCTAGTCCTAAAATTTAGTGGAGTTGCAGATGCTCTGAGAATCTTAAATTTGAATCAGTTAGAATGGGTCTTTCTTGCATGCTGCACGCAGTTACATATCCTTTGTACCGAGTCAAAAAAGAAAAAAAAAATAGAACAGGGATTGTCTGACAGATTCCTTCAGAAATGGAATTTTCCCATTATTGGCCTCTCTCATGAGTTCTTTTGAGAGTCCCTAGTTAATTAAAACATGTCCTTAGACAGTAAATAGGTAATAGAGGGGGAAAAATAAGCGAACAGCTACACACGTCCTTGTAAAGGAGAAAAAAATAAAAAGAGAAAGAAAGGAAGAAAAAGAAATAGTATGTAAATTATTGTGTGCGAAGACATAATGTAATAAAAATTAAGGCTCGCCTGGTTTTGTATTACTTTTTAGGCTTTTTAGGCTCAGATTTAAAAAAGGGGATATTCAAAGGGGGTCTGGTAATCAATGGAAAATCGAATGTTCAGCTGATAGTGAGTTAATCTGAGCCGAGGAGACCCTGGGACTAGTGAACGTTGAAACGCCTTCCATTTGAGGGCAACGAGAGTGGTCCGTATCGCGGTGTATGAGCAATTGCAGCGCTACAAAATGAAGGCGTTTAAGTGAACGGTGATTCTAAGTCAACATCATTATTTGATCAGTTCCTCGGTGTTTTTAATTTTCACGGGCCTCAAAGGTAGAAAGAAATGAAGAGCAAAATTTGATTTGATAAATTGTGTTATTTTTCCGCTAAGCTGTCCGCCCTAAGCGGATCCAGCAAATTGACAATATTATTTTTCTCCAATTAAACCTATGGATATGTATCGATTCTCGAAGGGGCCAGGTGCTCCAACAAGAATCGATTCTTCAACACAGGTTTCAATCGGAAAAAACCAGCGTTGCCAAATTGCTGGATCCGTCTCTGGTGTCCACATTAGGTATCATCTACATCGACGGTGTAAGTCGGCAATCACATGACTCGGTTTGCGACGTCGCAGACTTCCTGCCATACTTTATTTTTTACCTTATTTTTTTAAAACTACTCACCGGTAATTCTTTAAAACTGCCGTGATTTTTCTTCTCTGTGACAGGAAAATTCTGCAAAAACTTCAATGATGTCAATTTGTTCTCCTATAAAAAAATAACACAGAGGCGGAGATTTTCAGACACCACAAACGAGTTATATGATTGCCGACTTACACCATCGAAATATTTAAAAGAAGAAGGGATTTTTTTGTAAGAGGCCCGGCTGAAGAGTAGCGCCTTCAAGCTTTAACTTGAGAATAACTAAAGGTTTTGGCAGAACAGAAATATTCTGAAAGTAGACGCAACTACCTTTCTAATAATTTATCAGTTTGATTAATGGAACAATGTTTGTTGTTACAGCGTTATCAAACTTCCGATATGTTCTCTCACGATGGGTTTTAAAGGAAGATATTATGGGTGACATATAACGCTGTCAAAAGTAACAAGTGAGGCAGGTATTGGAATACTCGAAAATATCAATTCAGGCAAATACTGCGAGAAAGTATAACTTACCTATCTAATTCAGAATTCGAAGAACACGCACAACTATCTTGTTACAACATGATGATGCCCGACCCCACTGCAATCGTCCAACTTCTGCCAACATTGAACGCTTGGATTTCGAGACCGTTCCTCATCCTCCATATAGTCCTGACTTGGCACCCTGTATTTTTAGGTGTTTCCGAACTTAAAAAAGAAACCCTCAAAGGCACTCAATTCTTATCAGACGCCGAAGTCGAAGCCGCGGTCGTGAAAAGGATTCAAATTAAAGTCTATTTCCATTTAAATCTTCCGCCACATTCTTACGGCGCAATGACACAACTATTTGAACTCTCCGGAATGCGTAAGGTATCACGCCGCATTTGAAGGCGTTTTCATAGCAGCCAAGTTCCGTTATCGGAACAATCGTTTTGCATAGTTCATATTATTTTGTTTCCATTTCTAACCACTTGTTTAATTATAATCCTCCTATAAAACCACCCATTTGCTAAATACAATTCTAGCTGGAGCGCACTCAAGCACATTCATGACTGCAAAAATGTTAATGGAAATCGAAAAGGCCAGGGTGCATGAAGGCTATTTCAATTGTAATCTTCCGTCGCATTTCTAAGGCGCAATGATACAACTATTTGAACTCTCCGGAATGAGTGAGTTATCACGCCGCATTTGAAGGCTTTTTAAAAAAAAGCAGCCAAGTTCCGATACCCGGATTATCGCTTTGCATAGTTCATATTCTTTTGTTATATTCCGTGCCACTTATTTATTTTCAATCCTCGTAGAAAAACCACTCATTTGCTAAATACAATTCTAGCTGGAGCGCACTTCAGCTATGCATTCACCACTGCAAAAATGTCAAAGGAAATCGACACGCTCAGCGTGCATGGAGGCTATTTCAATTTAAATCTTCCGTCACATTCCTATGGCGCAATGATACAACTAATTGAACTCTCCGAAAAGCGTGAGGTATCACGCCGCATTTGAAGGCGTTTTCAAAACAGCCAAGTTCCGATACCCGGATTATCGTCTTGCATAGTTCATTTTGTTTTGTTGAGCGCACTTCAGTTATGCATTCACCACTGCAAAAAGGTCAAAGGAAATCGACACGCCCAGCGTGCATGGAGGCTATTTCAATTGTAATCTTTCGTCTCATTCTTACGGCGCAATGATACAACTATTTGAACTCTGTCTTGAATGCGTCCGATTAGTCGTATAAATTCAAAAATTTCTCGGGGGATGCCCCTTGGACCCCCCAGGCCCCCACCCCTTCTGTGCTTGGGGCCCGGACCTTAAAACTGGTACCAGGACCCAAGATGGGATGTGGCGGGCCTGGTTAGAAAGGTAATTACGTCTACTTTCAGAAAATGGTTCCTTTTTGTCAGAATCTATAGTTGTTCTCGACTTGTGAGCTTGGAGGCGTTAGTTTTCAGCGCAGCCGGGCTTATTTGTACGAATGAGATCTGGATATTATTTTGTCGGGCTGATTCTCATGAAATTTTACTTTCTCGCTCCCATTGCCGGTAGAGAAAGTATTTTTTTAAGTGTGGTGATTTGTCGGATTCGCCAAATAGGCGAGTGTCAGTGTTCGTAGGATTTGCCAAATTTAATTGGATTTGAGCCTTTGAAATTAACTGATTTTTTAATAAAAAATAAGAAGGGTTTCGTTCACGTATAAGCGCAGTCCGGTAATCTCTACGCTTTGTGCGGTTCACAGAGGATCGGGTCAATTAGAGAGGTCGGACATGAAATTTTTGAGTAAAACTGCAAATTTTGATGTTTATTTCGTCACACTTTCAACTTCATGGGGTGCTTTTAAAAGATAATTTCACGAGAAAACCAACGGATTCACTTTTAGAACCTCCAAGTTTTTTATGAACGGAGTTATATGCGTTTACAGTTTTCAGACTTTGTCCGACCTATCCTATTGACTCGATCCACTGTGCGGCTGTTCACTACCGTCGAAGTCCGGAAAATTTTTCGAGCCGCCTCTCGATATTTTCGAGGCCTCATGATATCCACTTGCGGCTTCAATAAGTGATTCAATTGATTCATATTTTCGACCGATATTATTTTCCAAGGAGGGATTCCTCAGGCTTGGCTATACATAACTTTAAGTGTATAAATGTTTATATGGGCTGTTTGAATACGCAAATACCTGAAAAAGGAAAAACTTGAGGAGAATTTACTTCTTGTCAACTCTTTACCTAGAATTTTATACGAGAATTTTCGATAATTAGTCTAATATCGTTTGGTTTCAAAGGGTCAATTATAAAGCATGCTGGATAAAATTTTTCAAGTCTATGGAGGAGGTATTTGAATGCACCAGAGAAAAAAGGGGGAAAAGGAGAAAGAAAAAAAAGAAACTAAAGTAGGTTAAAGTTTACAGGGCTTCAAATTGCGAACACACGCAACGGACCGCGAATCATTTTCAAGGTTTAATACATCCTGCAAGGTAGGCAACATAAATTGACAATGCGTGATAGAAATTGCATAACGCAAAGATGAAGGCTCTCCAGATGCTAGCAGAGTGAGAATATTTCCAGGACTGATGAAGAATTATGTGGTGCCCTTGGAGTCTTAGTGAGCATTTACGTGAAAAATGGTAAATAACTAAAGTTGGAGAAGGTAATGATTTGCTCAACGATTGGCATTTGTGGCTGAACTAAAAATCGAAATAAACTAAAAAAAATCACCGCAGTGTTTGGTGAGAAATGAGTCCTTTATGATGGTATTTGATTAAGGCCCCAGTTTCGAGGACCAGGGGAAGAAAATGCTGCGGTTCATTTTTTCGGTTTGATTTGATCTTTGCTTTTGATAATGATGTTTTTCTTGAGCAAAATATTCTCACTAAAACGTTAGTTACTTGGAAGTTTTCACGTAAACACACGATTTCAGTATTACGACAGGTTTTTTATGCATGAATCGAGGAAAAAA